AGATGCAAGGAAGAACATCGCCAAAGTTCAAAGGCGAAACGTAGCACATGAACAATCTGAATGGGGCTTATTAGATATAGGAAAGGGCTAAGAGGGCTTCGATTCTGTAAGGGTTCCGTTAAAAGGTTACTCAGGGGAACTATAGTACTGATGTCCCCTAGCAGTCCCGATATGATTCTTCAAGATGCACCCAGATCCAGGTCCGTTCATTATTGGATCAGTCGGGTGTACCTCACCATTAGATCCAGCTGTTGTAGCCGACAGTGTTCCGCTCATCCCCAAAATTCGCACCTTAGGGTTTCTGTGTATATTCTAATGCAGTTTTATACGGGATATGGTTACACTAGTGCTTTCTTGGTTATACATGGTTATTACCGTATGCATGTGTTCCAGCACCATATTATAGGTATGATCAGTATTTCATTCGGCCATAGCGCAAACTTGTATAGGCATTCCTCAGGGCCATATCTGGCTGTGGCATCTGAAAATCTTCGGCCGTGCCGAGCGTTAGAGTCGAAAGCTCTTGAGGTCCGTTTATCATAAAACCCGCAAGCAGATCAAAACTCCTTTCAAAGCACATCGAGTTCACAAGGATGGTAATTGCCTGGGGGTTTACGCCGCTTAGGAAGGGAACCCGAGTCGGGGATTGCTGGGATTGATCACATAGCACGCGAGAGTTTGAGAGCTTCGGCAATGACAATTTATGCCGGGGCCCCCTAAACCCTAAACCCTATCCGAATCAAGTGGATCCTTAAGTCAAGGGCTCCTGCGGTCGCACAAGAGACCTCCGAATTCAAGACCGCCTCATACTGACAGAAAGGGAACCCAGCAACAGTCGTAACATACTTCTCTTCCACCACAAATCCTAAACCCCAGACGCCTGTGGGTCTTAAATAGTTATATCCTAGAGCCCCGTAAATCTCGGGCCCTTTGAGAGAAAGACAGGTATGATACGCAAATCGACCTCTGGAGTGTTGGTGTCACCCTTTTCGAGCTCAGCAGCAGCTTGGCTCATGCTCTCAAAAGCTAAGGGCTTTTGGTTGAGGGTTCCTCGCAATCCAGGGTTTGGAGTTTAAGGTGTGCGGGGTTTGGCTTGCAAGAGCTTTTGCTTACGGGTGTGGGGTGTGTAGGAGATACTTCTTGACACTATGGACCTTGCAAGGTTTGGAGCTGTGCGCTGCGAAGGGGAGGCATACATGCCATGAGTTTCGCCGTATGATCTCGCAGATTAGGTGGCTTGCTTGCCCTGCTCGTGTGCCAACATGTTTTGTCGGGGCACGAGTCCGTTGTCGTTGCAGGTATCATGGGCCCTGACTGTTGGATTCTGCAGCCCTACTCAACGCACAGATTGCCTCCAAACGGGATTTCTCGATTCATTCAGCGAGCCCGGTAACCCGTCGTGCGGGATCAGACGCTTCGAACCGCCATCGCACACATGCAGGTGGCAAAATCCTCTTCACGGGGAAGTCGAACAACTCGATGGTGCGGCAGATGCTTGAGGCCATCTTTTTTTCTTCGCGAGGATCTGCGCAGAGGTGGTGCATGAGTTTCATGGAAAGTAAATCCGGTTCAGCCAGTGGTGAAGTGTTGCGAGGTGCGGTAGCAGCCGCCGTTCAAAGGGTTGGGCCCTGAACATAGCTTAGATGTACATATGTTGAATCGTTCAACTTTGCATGTCCTGATCAGGGTTCAGGTTACTCCATTCGGCCATTCTAGTTGCTCCCATCTCTTAATTGTAGGTAATTGAACAAAGATTCCACAGCAACCTATCTTGGAGGATTTGGGTTCAACCACATGCCGGCAGAAGGGCAAAACCTTAAGCCAGGCAACCCAAAACCGTTGCAGGAGACCCAAATCTTCGAAAAAGGTATGCTCAGACGCCTCGCCCGGACGGCCGAAGCCGTGAGAGCCGGAAAGGCCCTAAACAGACCCGAAGCCCCAAACCCTCCACACCGAGGTGTCGGGCGCATTTCCGAAGCGGCTGGCCACGAAAGGCGAGTTCCACGCGAAGCACTTCAACTCCGAAGGCCAGGTGTGGTCTTATAGCTTACAAACATACAACTAATAACTAAACAGATGTATCTATATATACATAATCTGTATCCACATGTTGAAATTTTATTCATATTTCACAATACAGAAAGTAGTACCAGTGCTTTCACGGTTGGATTGGTTGTCGGGTATGTTACAGAAGCTGTAGAAGTATAAAGGGACGGTTAGAAAACACAACTTAAACACAACAACTATAATGGTAGTATCGGGGTGGATTAGGGTACTAGGGGCTTTTCAAGGTCCTTGACTTCAGCATCCTGCAATGTAGCTTATATGATAGTGTTCTATACAAGGGCTGCAAGGGAGCATTTGTTGCTGAAATTCCCAAATCTACCTAAGCGCACCAAAATCTATTTTTAGAGCCCCTATAAATCCCATATTGCGGCTTTTGATTTTTAATACGAGATATGAAAAACAGGTTTTGGTAGTTTAAGGTACAGTCGCAACAGGGATGGTGGCCTTGTTGAACATCAGGCTTGGTATGCTCTCCTACGGTCTACTCCGAAAGCTTGGCTCGCTCCAGGAGGTCTTGGATTTAGGTACGGTTAAGTGGACGTTACTGTAAGTCTTGAGTATGTAGTGCAACTGCGTGTATAAATACGCACAGTATACAAATAAAACCATATATGCATTATACATATATATATATATACTTATATACACACACACACCACATACATACCTACATACGTACATACATACATACCTACGTACGTACGTACATACATACATACATATATATACATATATACATTTGTTTATACTGCATACACATGCACATCTACAGGTTGATATACAAAGATATGTACATGTGTAGAGTTATGGCTTCCAGACTGACAAATTCATTCTCATGGTGTGCTTTCCACGGTTACTCAAGCCTTGCTATGGGTTTGATACATAAAGTAAGCCTTCCTGCAAGCAGATTCTGTAAATTCAGTGACTTCCCTGACTGAACCATGCAAGTGTTTGCCCAACGCTACATAAAGGCAACCCCAGAACAACATGATTTTCGGTTCGCGTGCATTTTACTTTGTGCTGTACAGTGCCATGTTCTTCAGCGGCCTCTTCTGGTCCACAAGTAAATGCAGAGTATCTTATCTGGACGTTCCACCTACCTTGTCAGAGACTGTCAATGGTGTGTAGGCTTGCCGGGCAGCTTGTGCCGGCGGAACGTTGTTCAGGCGAGTTCCTTCTGCACGACCCCACATCCATCACGGGCATTCGAACCTTGGAGGAGCATCTAAAAACAGGGGTCTAAAATAGTCTTGATTTTCCTTGTCCTTAACACACAATAGATTTACCCACTCCTCGGACGTCAAGCGCAAACGACTATTGGCGATTTATGGGCTTTGGAATCTTTTCTGCACCCCCCGACCCGAAGGAGAATTCCAGACCGCCATCGTGTTCGACTAGCTTGAGCTGTTTGCTGTTACATGCTGGCTATATGCATAGACGCCGCACCGGGGTTCCGAGTCCCAAACTCAGTGCGTATGTGTATACACACACACACACATATATATATATATATATATATATTCATATATATATATATATATATATGTATAAGAGACATATAGGACATACCCGCTTCGGCCCATTGGTGGGAGTGCAGAAGACAAGCATAAGGGAAAAGAGGCGACGCTAGCATTGAGTCGATCTAAGTAGTATACAGTGGGATCTTTAATACAAGGCACCACCGGAGTTATAAGTTTCAGGCATGGAATCAGCCTCCGAGCTTCATCCTACGGGTTCCTTTCACAGATTCCATCGCAATCTCTGTCTCAGAACGCGAGTACAGAATCGTAGCACTTTCGTGTTTCGGGGAAGTTTACCAGTGACTCTGGGCCACTTTCTGCCGACCAAGACCTCAAACCCTAAGGGGACATCTTGCCCATGAAGAAGTACGAGAAGGTCCGACAGCCCGAATCTTGCAAGCAAGTTGCTTCGAGTGCTTGACAGTTCTGAGAAGGGCAAGGGCTCGGAATAGTTTGAATTGGTGTCTCGTTACGGTCCTCAAATGTGTCGTAATAATTTTGCAGAACCGAGAATTCCAACAAAAATAGGTCCCCGGATCCTTATATCAGTTTACTCGTCCTAGCCAGATGGATGCAACAAAAAGCAACCATTGGTTCCGGCAGCCATACTATGGTGGAGTACTGCTGAATCTGTCTCTTGAGGGGTTTGGCTCAGTGCTTAAGCTTCCGTTTAACGGCATGTTTGGACCCTGTCCGAGAACATGCTGCGCAGTTCAGAAGCCCACCTTTGGACCATGGAAGTACAGCGAGAGCAAGCTCTAGTGAGAATTCTTGTAACCACAGGACTATCAGGAAGTGTAGAACTGTTGAGCACTAAGTTGTCATTGTCTTGCGGCGACAACTTAAGGTTGCAAAGCAGTTCCACAAAAAAGAAGCAAGGCATGTACTCCGCTTTTCGGGAGCATCAGGTGAAAAGTGCTGCATAGGAAATCAATATGCGCAATAACACCTTGCCGCTTGAGGGACCTGCCTACGAAGGTAACTGGGTTTTATTCAATTTCAACATTAAGGAAACTGTATTCGTATTATTTTCGCTAGATCCCTGCTATGGTAACTTGCATTCTATCCCTTGACAAGAACCCAGGTAAGCAACATGCTGGACCAAGTCTTCAAGAATCCGCCGCCTAATTCGGCAGCTTGGTCTGGAAGACCTTACCTTGGTAGCCGCTTCCGCGCCTTTTTCGGGGTTGTGTAGGGCTTGTAGTGCAATGCACAGGGCCAAAGTGGAACTGGTTGGGTTTATGTTTAGGCTTCAGGGTTTAGGGTCAGTTAGGCACTTCTCAAGCTTGGTCATTTGAGGGGAACGGCTTTCGACAAGTGGGTTTCACAAAGACAGCCTACAGTGGCCTACAGCAAAATAGTCCAGCTGCAGTCTTCAGCATCTTTTGCTGCGTAATGGAGAAGGCTGAGTACCGACTAGTACGATCACTGTATAGTCCCTCGATATATCTATCTATCTAGCTGTCTATCTATCTGTCTATCTATTCATCCATCCATCCAACCTTTAATCCATCGATCTATTTACCTGTATATCTATCGATCGATCTATCTTTTAGCTATTTGTCTATCTACCGATTTACCCATCCATCCATCCATCCATCCATCCATCCTCTAATTCATCGATCTATCTTTCTAGCTATCTGTCTATCTGTCGATTTATCTATCCATCCATCCATCTATACATCTATCTATCTAACTATTTGCCTATGTATCTATCTATATACCTATGTACCTGCATCTATACATGTACGCTTATGTGTACATATGCATATATAGGTGAATATATATATATATATATATATACATACACATACACACACACATATATATATATATGTATACATGTATATATATATATATATATGTATGCATATGTGCATGTGTGCGCGTGTGTTTGTTTCACTTTAATGTGTATGTTTAGAATATATATATATATATATATGTATATATATATATATATATGCATACACACATAAACATACATGTAAACATAAGTATATTTAGATACAGATTCGAAGTATTAAAACTCCTTGCAGTGTCCAAGGCAGAGGGCCCAGGGTTAGTCGGGCTTAGGGGTTAGGCTTTAGGAGGGACAGGGAGAGATAGACGGACAGAGAGAGAATAAAGTAGAAGCAAACAGAGACAACACTTCCCACGATCAGGCATCAGAGCCCTAAGTCTCTCCGGGACTCTCAGGCTAACGGCGCTGGTAAAGCAATTTCGCTTGTCGCATACAGTGCCCATAAGCAGAAGAAGAGCCTCATGGAAACCTTCCAGATCGACAGAGTCCAAGTCTTACAAAGGAAGCCATAAACCAAATCCTGAACATGTCTTCATGTCCAATGAACTTCAGGATGTCAAAGCGCTGTAGATTGCATTGTCAAGAGATCCGAATTCTTTAAGCCTTCTGCATGCTTGAGCTATGCCAGTTCTGGAGTCAAGGACCCAAAGACGCAGGAACGGCTGATGCCGCGTCTCGGGGATCTTGTGACGAAACTCCTCGTCCTCGATCCGGCAGCATCATGGCAACATGGTTTCTGCCATCCTTGTGCCTAGTGCATATCCCCTCAAAGTTGAGAGCAACTAACTGGCCGTCGCAACTTCTGCCCCGGGTTGATCCACACGAATGGCCATGCATCCCGCGACTGGTAGGATCCTCTCGCTGTCAGTACTGGCACTGGTCTTGTTCTTATTGTCGTTGTGGTTCCGTCTTTCTGTTTCTTCTTTTTGATGATGTTTTGTCGCTCGCCGTTAGGCTACTTCTACAATGGACTGTGATCCGCTACAGGTGGAAGTCTGTTTTCTGCGGCTATGGAGCTTGTTCTTGCCGAATCAATCCTGATTTTGTGGCGGCTTCAACACTATAGTTGCCGAAATCAGCGCGGGAAGTCGCTAGGCCGCTCATGTGAGCTTAGATGAAAGCATAGAGGACTAGAGTTGCACATGATGCAAATGCACATGTTTGAGCTGGGACTTTGCTCTGCATAGATAAGCATTGACCGGGTCCAGACATCAAACAAGACCAGTCGGTCGTAAGCGTTGCTATCACTTTTGCCGGGCCTCCGTCATATTCGATCGTAGTCCCCCATCCCAGCTGAAAACAAGCAAAAGCTCTCACTCGGCCTTGGCAGGCGGAAACCCTTTCTGGCATTTTCACGAGGGGCTAGGCTTAGACACCGTGTCACATGACTTGTCTTCTTCAAGTATGACGCAAACACGCATTGCGACATGGCTCCTGCCGGTACCCACTGTGCTCAAAGAGACCAGCGACCAGCCCTCCCAGGCCCCCTGCTCGGTTCTGGTCCGGAAGAGTTGTTGTAAGACAGAAGAGATCAGGACCTCAAGCTACGAATGTCAGAATATGTCTGAATGCACTCTTCGCCAAGCAAGTAAAAGCTGCTTGAGAGGTTTGTCCTTCGTAGTGAGTGCTAAACCTATAGACCGAGGAGCGCTTGACACCGGAGGATGCCTTGGCCCATCCTTTCTTTCAGAAGGACAAATGAGGCCTCAAGCGTTCCGGCTGTATGTTTGTATTTATAGTCGTACCCAACGGCTTGCCATTCACTTCTCACATGACAAGGTTCTTTTCCGTGACCTTTCGAAGCCTCCGTCAGTATTTTTGAAACTTTCGCCATTGGATTTAAGACTTTGAAATTCGTCAGAATGAACCTTCCCCGAGAAGCTCTCCCTCATGGTATGTTGGTTGGCCCTGGTTCCTGTTCGTGCTGGAGATTTTGGAAACTTGAGTTTCATGTTCGGGGGCAGTGAAATCTGTAGGATTCCATTGCTTTGGGCATTGGACTGCACTTTATCCAGGGTGTTGGGATTGGGGGAAATCCGGCAGTTGTTTTTTAGCCCTTGCAACAGGTCTCAAGGTCTCACAGGTTGTAGCAAAGCCGCATCCCACCAAAGCTCCAAATATCCCCGGCACGCCCCACATCGTACGAATATTGTGATGATGACAACAGTCACAATAACCAGCATGACGCAAAAACCCTAAACTATAAGAGTGTCCGAGTGTGAGCTCCGACGGCCTTAGCCAAGATAGTAACTTCCGGGATCAGAAACCCTAAACCCACCTTGAACCCTAAACCCTAAACCCAAAACCCAGAGCCTGGCTTTACAAAAGAAGGCCCGAAGCTCTGAAGTCCCGCCCAAAGGCGAAAACCAGAACCCGAGAGCAGCCCACCTTTCAAACTAGGCGTGTAGTGCCTATATATAGTATATAGTATACAGTACATGATATATAGTATATATATAGTACAGAATATAAAGTATATAGTATTATCGTAGTATACAGTATGCAGTACGATGTAGTATGTCAGGCATAATGTATAAGCCATCTGTAGAACCCAGCGCTCGGGCTCTGGACATATTTGTTGGTTCATGGTTCAGGGTCGCCGTGTCTTTTCGACTGTAGGACTGTAGGAGTTAGTGGGTTGCTGATTGTTCGCCGGTGAGTCCCACGGTAGGGTTGAACCTAGCAGTGAAGCATGCTGATTCACATGGCCAATCGAACTTCGAGCTGGTGCCTGAACCCGTCAGGGACACTCGCCCCGGGTGAGGAGTATTGGGTCTGCAATGCAGGTAGGCTGTTCGGCGCTGGTTGTCGGTGCGACTATAAACCAATAACCGAACCCTTGGCTGGCACTCCCAGTTCACCTTATGCCAGACGACCTCAGCAGTTGATACTATCGCCAGAAGTTGGACTAGTCATAATGTCGTATCACATGCTTCTAACTCCAAAACTCCTTCTTTTATACATAGACACCCAAGCACATTCAAAACAGTCCGGCGAGGCAGCATGGAAGATTGAGTCGCCGTCATGGATGTGCCCAGATGAGCGTGCAAGTGAGGAAGTCCATGGCGAAGGGGAAGAAGGGCTCGCTGATCGACTTGATCTAGGACTGTCTGCTGAAAGCCTGCATGCACACGCATACATGTATTAACGTGTATACTCACGTGTATTCATGTATACATATTTGTACAAATTCACCAGGAAGGATGCTTATCTCCGCCCCTGCTCGTAGCAGTCCTTCCTGGTCGTTTGTTTGCCTTCGTCACTTGTCCCTTTGCGACACCGTACCAACCACTTTCCCCGACACATGAAGAACATCCTAGGAGGGTTTCCTTCCGTTTTGGCGTTAGAAAAACTCTGTCAAAGAGTACCCTAGGCAGCCTCACTCTCCTTCGCTATGGCACGCCGATGGCGGTGCCCAACGTCTCACATATTCCGACTGGAGCCTGCTTTATCCAAGTTTATGACTAGCCTTCCATGATGGCTGACTTGGGGTCGGTAGAAGTCCACGCTGCCCGAAGTCCATTGTTCATCAATGCATGTGAACCCCAGGGGATCCATCAGCGCCATCGCAGCACAAAGATGGCAATCGTTACCTTGGTCAGACCAGGAATCAGGATGACATTGCTTCCATTAGCAGGTCAAGTTTATGTCATGCGCAAGCCTATGCTGCGACATCATGGTGTGTGTCAATCAAATGTTAAGGCTGCGGCCACCGACCATGTATATGCACCAGCTAATCCAATTATGAACCGTTGTTCGCAAGGCTTTCTCAGCCTGCAGCCCCTGTGGTCAAAATCACGCCTTCGCCGTGGAGAAGCCCACAGAGAGAAGCATCTGCCAAGACGCTCATATCTTGAACCGATATTGCGAGTGGTTAGACAAGATTGATAAAAGTCCCTGCTCATACTGAAGGTTCTCCAGGTAGTGTTGGCATGCATAGATTTGTCTAGGGCAAGTACTTCATGACTATGTGCATCACGTGGGTCCCCGACTCGTTACCATTACCAGCCCTCTATGCTGAACCCTAAACCAAACCTTAACCCTGTACAACGGAAGGTGTCAGGCATGGCCGTCGGATGCACCAGACAAAAATAGCATACCCTGCTCCGCTCGCGCGGACGCAGAGGGCTCGGCAGAGTGGGAGAAGGAAAGAAGGAGCTTTCTGTTTGGAGGTTGTGGGGTTCCAGCAAATATTCACATTTGTGTACGTGTATATGTATGCATTTCTGTGTGTATGCCTGCATGCATGTGATGATCAAGACTTTACAATGCCCAAAATGAGCCGTAACTCCGCAAGCTGAAGGTACTCAAAGCTGAGGGTACTTAAACCCTGAACCACAAACCCTAAACCAGTACAGAACCCGTAGAAGCCCCTCTTGACAGTGCAAGGATTTTGTTGCCGACTGCCAACGGATACTTGAACCCAAAAGATTTTGCAAGCTTATTTAGATTTGGTTGTCGGTGCTTCATTTGCTCATGGTCCCTTCAACTTCGGCTGAGAGTTTGTTTGCCTGTCTGCATTTCATCTGATCCGCGTGCCGGTCAACACTAGACTTTTTCAACCAAATTTGAAACCGCAACCCTGGTTTTGTCCTCTCGGAAGACATCTTGGAACCCCCCAAGGATGCAGGTTTTGCTGGTTCCAAGTCCTTCAGCTAGCCCTGAGCCTTGACCGTAATATAGAAGCCCAAATAAATACCAATATTACTATTGGGGTTTCTTAGTGTGAACATACTACAAAGGAACCCCAAAACCCTATTGTAGCTATCAAGGCCCCTACATGAGGTCTAATCCTTTATGAACCTCAAGCCTCAAGACCTGATTTGGCTTGTCCGAGTTGGGAGTGCCAAAGGTGCCAGTTCTCTTGGAAATCGTTTCAAAATATTGCCATGACAGTCTTTACGCCATCCGGGTCGTAAAGTGCCGTGTGTCTATGGCCATGCAGTCCCTTACATCATGAGTAGTGCCCAGGTGAAGTGCATGTTCCGACATGCTTGCACATAGCATTGCAGGGCTAGGCTATGACTAGGCTTTCTGTTCTGCTCAATGCTTTTTCAAGCTGCATGTGTTGTTTACTGCTTCTCTCGTTCTACATTCTGTCATATTGTTGGATCGTCTAACTTCGTCTCTACGTTGTTGTTTTTAACACTTGGTGCTGGGAGGAATTGTTTGCTGAATAGAATTTCGTACGTTCGACAACTGCTGGGTGCCTGGCCTTGCCAAAGCGTGCAGCAGCCTGGAGAAGGCTCCAGGCTCCAGGCAAACCCAGACTGCTGCGCCTTCGTTCCCAAACCGGGAACTTAAAGCCAATATCTCTAACACTGTGACCCATTGCTTGCCCTCGAACCACAAGCCGCGTATTTTGGCCCAAGCTCCGCAACACTGTAGCGAGGTGACCGGCGGTGCACGTCTGTTACTGGGTCCCAAGGACATCAGCATGTAGATGCGTGATGTGGTTCCCAGACACGAATTGCGGACGGGCAAGGTGATTTTCGAGTAGTATCTGAACGAATTCGGCACCGCAGTACCTCGGCCAGAATGGCCCTTATCCTCCTTGCCTTTCTGGGCATTGTTGGCTTGGCAGATGCCAGCGGCCACCAGAGCGGTTCTGGAGCTCTTGTGGTTGACAGCAGCTTGGACCTGCAACTCCGCGCACCTGTGGTTTCGAATAAGGACACGCAGCCTTTATGACTGTAGTCGTTGTTGGTTCGTGGCCATGTACATGTCTACCCCTCCACACACACGTATATACACAGAGAGACGGACAGAGAGAGACAGACACAGAAACAGACAGAGAGACAGCCAGCCAACGGCAGGCAGGCAGAAAGACAGACAACATACAGACAGACAGACAGAGACAGACAGACAGACAGACAGAGACCGACCGACAGAGCCAGACAGGCAGGCAGGCAGGCAGATACATGCGTACATGTACATACACACACAAATAAACATGCGTGTCTGGCTGGTCGGTTGCCTGTGTATCCACATATGGTTGTACAGAAATACAAATAGTGCTGGTCCAATACAGAAAGCTAAGGCTTCCTGAAGCCAGTGGAATACAGGCACACCTTGCGAGTCTGCAATGCGTACGCGGGCGATGAGAGCTTTTCGGTGGAGATCGGTGGCATCAACTCCATGATGGGTGCTCCTATCAAATACAAGGCCATTCCTTGCATTCGTTCATCTCGAGCAACATCAGTAGGTCACTCAATCTGGTTCCGAAGTGCCTACTGTAGCAGATCTATCCAGACCTTCTTTTATTTGGCAGAAGGTGTTATTGCATGACCCTGACAAAAAAAAAGAGTACACACGACCCTCCGACCTTTTTGTGCTGCCGGTCGGGGCGAGGAGTGCCAGCAGCTGAACCTGGTGAAGCCTCTTGCGCGAGGAGATCGTCTTGAGCCCGGCCTGCAGTCGATCGCCATAACGACGGGTTCACTGAGCTATGCGCATTTTTTGAGGGGCTGCATCATGCGAAGCCCGTGACGTTGTGGACGTCTTGGCAACCCGAATCGTTTAAATCCCTGGAGTCGATGATCCCCCTTCTACACAATCCGGATCCGTAGGGCTGCAGCCTAAAGCGTAAATTTAGATTGCCAGCTTCTTGAAGCCTCCACCCGGAGAGCTCTACAACCGGCGTTGCAGCCGACAACGACATCGTCAAAAGAACCGGTAAGAGCGTTAAAGCATCAAGGAAGTCTTCATCCGACCTCTCTTCATCCCACCTTTTGTGCCTCTGGAGAGTGCAACCCCCCTTACGGTTAAGGCTTATAGAACTCCCTACGCCTTACAGCCTGACGTTTAGAAGCCTTGGTGCAATCCAAGATGGCCAAAAGCTTAAACCTTGTTACTATCAGCCCGAGGCCTTAAATTCCCGTAAGCCCTGAGCCCGATGATTTCGGCGTAAGGACCCAAACCCTCAAAGCGCCAAAACCTTAAAAAACCTCGAGGATTTCCGAACAGAGAAGCTGCCAATCGCCACCTTCGCCATCGACTCCCTGCCAAGGCTGGCTTGCTTTGTCGGGAAGGTCTTGGGATTGAGCGGTTTCGTGTGGGGCGGGGGGGGGGGGTGTGGAATGACGGTCTGCGTAGGCCAAGATTTCAATCTCAAGACAGATACTTTTTCGCACTTTTGGGACTTTGTTTGCTGTCCTTCAGAACCTGCACGAGTTCCTGAATGGCCGCATGCATTGCAAGAGTCAAGAGCGTGCGCCATGTTGACGAGGGTGCCCGAAATGTCACTGCTGGTGTGGTCTTCTCGATGAGGAGTTTTCTGTAGACTTCTACGCAGTCCTCCCTTGACCCTATACCATATAACTTACAACCGCTAAGCCGTAAACCTTGAAGCCTAAACAAAGATCTTGCATGATCTTACTTCGGAGGTATGATGCCGTCATGTATGTGGTGATCCACCGCTCAAACTCCGAGTTGGATCCGGTGTCTTTCCAGTCGCACATGTTCGCTGCATCGAAGGATGCCCAGGCAGCTTTTTGTCCGTTTTCGGGTTCCTAGTGACTCTGGTGGTTTGTGCAGTATGGTTTACGGTTTAGAGTTTGGGTTATCAGTAGCTTTTTCTATCGTGTACATTACGAGTGGTTCCGTGGCGATGCCATTTGCACGGTCGATCTGCAGGGTTTACCCAGCTTTTCATATGCCACATCAAGATCCGGCAGTGTAGGGCTTAGGTAAAAGCGATCCGATTTACCCTTAAACCTTCAACCCTAGACGCGGAACAGCTGATTGCATGTTGTGCTAGCTGCTAGACCTACTGCGGCTAGAATGATTGCTCTGGCCTGCATTGTCCGGGTTGCCAGAGGTTTAGGAATGTTTGGGATGTATGATGGGATGTTAGACGCAAAAGATGAGAAGAGAGATTTTGCATATGTAGAGTCGTCTTGTGAGCTGCGACGCAAATCTGGCCCTTCGCACACTTGGGAACACGCAGCACACGTGGAACTGCGAGGTGTTTCGGAGCTCCTTTAAAGGGTTCCGGTTTAGCGGAAAGGGTTTAGGGTCTTGCGTCCCCCCTTCTTTTCCACGAGATTACGTGTGCTGCTGCAGCACATGCTTCATGGATCGCGCGTGTCCATGGCCCGATCGTACCTGTTTTTCGGGTCTACAATGCAGGAACATGGAACAACACAGCACTTAATGCCTACATAAGAAAAACCTTGTACAATCCGTATATAAGTCTTAAGAAACCTTGCAGAACCCCAATCGAACCCTTCTAAAACACCTGGTCTTGCTGGGAGGTGGCGGTGCTAGACACCTATGCCGGCGACGCTAAGGCCGCCCTGCTCTTGGCAAACTCCACAGGCGGGACTGGGCTTTAAGGGGTTAGACTAATGGCAAAACAACAGCAAGAAATAATCGCTGTAATATGTATATTCTTTGTTTCATTCGTATGAATTGTAGTAATAGAAATATTTCCGTATATAAGAGGTTTAGATTTTCTGCAGGTCGGAATACCAGGGGGTCAGGACAGCAGATGGTCAAGAAAAGATTTTGTCTTTTTTACAGGTATGACTGTCGGAGGACTTGGGGGTCAGATAATCAAACCCTAAGCCAGTGTGAGCGCCGAAAGCCTGAACAACTCGAGCGCAGCCAAGGCCACTGGGAAGGCACCATCCTTCCGTTCGGTACGGCTTTTGGCGTGCCCCAGGACCCATGCGGAATGCGAGCAGGGTTGAGCTGTTTAAAGATGACACATCCAGTTGAGGTGTGGGATAGACGAGGGATCTAGACCCGAAAACCCCCCTACAGGGCAGCTACCAGATCATCCTGAGCGACGGCAGTGCGGACTCCAAAATCCGAGTGCGCCTTACGGCGGCAAGAGGCGAAAGCTACCTCGTCCTCCGCACAGGCTCACGGTGTTTCGGGCATTTGTTTGGTTTAGGGTTTAGGGTAGTCTTGTGGGGAGGAGGCTCGCAGGGCCTGACAGGCGACTCAGTGCCCGAAAAAGAGAGAGAGAGAGAGAGAGAGAGGGTTCAGTGTTGTAGCGGCCAAGGCTCAGATAAGCAATGCATCCCTCAAACTCAAAGCCAGTCTTTGGGAGTCGCTTTTTTCATCCGGAGTCGTTTGCGGTGTGCCTGCAGGCCGAGGCAAGGTTGGAAATTCCACCAGCACCGAATATCCGCAAGATCTCTTGGTCTATCCGACCACTGAAGACGATGTCCTGGATCAGAAGAGTGGCACCCGCTGCAACTTTGCCAGCTTCGTGGTGCCGGCACTGGCGATATTAAGTTTCCTCTTCTAGAGGTTGCCACAGGCGGCTTGAAGGCTGTGGGGACAATGTTTCACAGCCAGCTGAACATTACGGCACGGTTGTAAGAACCAGTGAGGCAAAAATTGAAGATAAGCAAAAGAAGGTGGTCAGCAGAACTAGTGATGCTTGATCGACAGTCACGATGGTTTTGTCAGTTGGACTTCCTCAATTCCTACGTGCACTTGCCGAGAACAGGGCTGAGTCAGTGCATTGCATCAGGGAACCATGAGTCGAACGAGGAAGCAGATCGCATTTGTTGGCCATCTCTGCTGTTCAACAAAGCTTACTCTTCCACACATCGCTGGGGCTCAAAGTTTCGAGTAGGTCATGCAGATGCCCATAGACATAGACGAGCCAACACTGGGAAAGACGTGGGAGTGTCCGCGCTTATGATCCCTCAAGAGTTTGAGCTTTGCCCGCATCTCCTCTCGTGTTCTGTTGGCGCTGGCCCTCATCAGTTCAAGATGAAAAACGGGCAGTTGAAAGCGCACATTGTAAAACTGAGCAAGGCTATATGACCCCTTTACCTGATGCAGAAGGGACCCCGAACCCCTGGACCATGAGCTTCGCTTCGGGCCCAGGGAATGCGATTTGCACGGACTGGGGTGGGGGCACAAGGTTTAGGGTTCATCCGGGTGCAGACTTTGCAAGATGCCATGGCTGCCCCAACCCGGATCCCCTCGACCAAGAGCTTCAGCGAGTCATCAGCAGCTTGGCACAGAGTTTTATCGGCAGAAATCCGGGACTGCAGGCAGGCCTTACTGACCGGGATATGTTGATGTGGGACTTACAGACTTTGGGGCGAAGGCAGGACAACAGAGATGTGTAGGACTGACAGCTCTCTGTGATCGTCTTGCATAAGCTTGCAGGACTGTATGGAGTCGCGAGCATGTACTCGATCTTCCTGCTGCCCTAAAACCCCAGAGGAACACCATGCTGCTCCAGCCTGTGTCTCTGAATGATTTCAGGCTGGCAGCATTGGCCGGAAGATCACCAGGCGTGCACTGGGTATTGAGTGCTCAGGGTTCAGGTTCTCGGTTGCTTGGGGCTCGGGCGTGAGGTTTCGAGGCTCAAGATTGTGTCTGTTGAAATTGCTGTTCGAGATTTTGGGATTGTTGACTGGTTTTGTCTTGGGAAGTTGGCACCTCTGAAGGTAAACTCAAGGATCAAGGGTTCCTAATCACAGTTAGGGCGCAGGCATTGGTTGCTTTGGCATCCGTCTGAGATGCTCGCCGCATCACGTTGTTGTTGTTGTTGTTGTTG